AGAAATAAGTGAAAAATTCCTTAAATAAATGTATTCACCCTTAATTTGAGCAGGTAAATGAGAAAGTTTGCCAATGGAATGATTATTTTTACTCTTAAAATAAGATAATTAGATAATATGTACTTGAAATAAGACAATGCAATAGTGTTTTTTTATTTTAAGTGTAAATTATCTTGTTTCATTGGCAGAACGTCACTTTTACCTCCTCAATTCAAGAACAAATGCTCTTATTTTTAGAAAAAAATGACTTATCTAGATTTAGATTTTTTTGCAGTGCATTCCTACACTGCAAAACAATCTAAAAATGAGTAAAAATGTCTTAAATTAAGTAAATTTAACCCTTAATTTGAAAAGGTAAATAAGATGACTTGCTAATGGAATGAGTATTTTTATAATTAGATAATATGCACTTGAAATAAGACAACATAATTGCTTTTTTCGTATTTTAAGTATTAATTGTCTTGTTCTATTGGCAAAGTGCACTGCAAAAAATCTAAATCTAGACTAGTAATTTTTTTCTTAAAATAAGTGCATTTGTTCTTGAATTGAGGAGGTAAAAGAGACACTTTGCAGATGGAACAAGACAATTTACATTTAAAATAAGAAAACACAATTGCATTGTCTTATTTCAAGTGCATATTATCTAATTATCTTATTTTAAGAGTAAAAATAATCATTCCATTGGCAAACTACCTCATTTACCTATTCAAATTAATGGTGAATATACTTAATTTAGGACATTTTTACTTATTTCTAGATCGTTTTTGCAGTGTGTCTCATTTACCACCTTAATTCAAGAAAATATACTCTTATTTTAAGAAAAAAATGACTTATTTTTGCAGTGTAAGGGTTTACATTTTATGGATCTGATCTAATATTCATTAATAACAGTATTTATTTCATTTTAAATAAAATTATGTTTATTTGTGACTGAAAATGGTGGAGTCCAGGGTACATGGCTGTAACCTTTGACCTTCGAACCAGCGGTCCTGTTATAGCAAAGCTCCAGTGACTGAGCGCAGAGCAGAACGCGGCAGAACGCGGTAACTATGGTTACCGCGTTCTGCTGCAGCGGCATGAATTGACTCACAGTCGGGCTTTAGCTTCCTGGATGCTCACATGAAATAAAATCATTTTTTAATGGAGTTGGAGCTGTAGTGTTTCAGAGAACTGGATTACCTTTCACAGACGAAGTGCTGCAGTGTGAGGATCAGATTCAAACCGAGGCTTTTTTCTTTCGTTCATTGATTAATTGACTTTATTGATCACAGAGGAGAAATGTTCTCGTTACATCAGCTCAGTAGTGGTTGAGCAGATGGACTCTGGACTTGTTAAGGCATCAATCCGTTTCTGGTCGACCTCTGCCCCCCCATGAAAACCTTCTAGAACCGCCCCTGTTGGGTTTGCAGGTTCCTAAAGGAGCTGAATTTATTCCAACCATCCGTCTGCCCTACAGAGCGAGCCATCGCCAGACACGAGGTGCGGGAGATCGAGCAGCGGCACACTCACGACGGCCTGAGGGAGCGCGAGACGGCGGCCACGCTGTCCGACGCCGAGGATGACCTGGTGATCATCTACAACCGCGTCCCCAAGACTGCCAGCACCTCCTTCACCAACATCGCCTACGACCTGTGTGGGAAGAACCACTACCACGTCCTGCACATCAACACCACCAAAAACAACCCCGTCATGTCCCTGCAGGACCAGGTCAGACCGC